ATGAATATAACAAAGAGTTAATGTGAATACAAAAAAAATATACAGCAATTTAGACAAAGAAACTGCGACCTTGGTCAAATGTCTGCAAACTTATTATTATAGCGTTAAATATAGATATTTAATGATTTTATAAATATATTTTAATACATTGTAATGTTTTTTCAGAGTTTCTCTATTAAAAAATTAATTATTTTTTGAATTATGTTTTAAACAAATAAGAATTTAGTATTAATTTCATTAAATTATTGTTAATATTTTAGCAACAATTCTCTATGTTTTTAACATCAATACCATTTTGAACTAATTTTTTATACAAACTTTGTTTTTAATTTATAAAGTCAAATAATTTTCCCATTTATATTAATTACTAATTTTTAATTTTGTTTTTTTGTATGAAAATATTTTTTTGTCATTTTTACTTTAATTACATTAATTAGGCTAGATTTAAATGTCATGTGAATACAGTGTTTTCGAAACCTTTTAGTTTAAGTATAATTTCACAACAAATTATATTTTGCCATAAAAAGCACCTCATAAGTGATAATAATATTGTTTTTGTCGTGCATTACATCGAAATGTAAAATCCAAGGATAGGGTGGACTCAAACCCTAATGTCTTGAGTCGTTCTCATATTTTCCACATTAATGTGAATAAACATTAAATATTTGATAAACGACTTAAATTTAAAAGATTTTAAACGATTTTTATTACCTATTTAGAAATTATATGAAATCTGTAAATCAATTTTATAACTAATTTAAGCAGTTAGTAATTTGTTTGATTTTTTAAATGATAAATTAATTTTGTTTAAAGTTTTGTAGTTAATTTCAATATGATAGTATTATTATTAACCTTTGAGTTTATTTCTAGATTATTTGTAATTATTTTTTTAATTTTTGAATATTTTTGGGGTCAAAATTTTTAATTACAGTTTATATTTTTAATTTTTAATTATGGTTAAAATGTTATCATAAATTATGATTCATAATGAAAACTAAAACATTGTTTTTAATTAAAGAACATTATTAGAAAGATTTGAATTATTCTTACAAGTTAATATCATGAACAATTCATTTTATATTAATTTAATTATTTGATAAACAGTGTCTAAACAATTAATTTGAAAAACATTTGTCTTTGTTTGGCTAAATAGTATCCATGAATTGAATTTCACTAATATTGATTGTATTTGTGATAAAAATATATTTTGAAATGAATGCACAAATTTCCATAAACACATTAATTACTAAACTCAAGGCCTGTAAATACCTTTATTTCCAACGAGTATTCTCTAGTATTTTATTTAAAAATAAAAACAAACTGATACTGTAATGAAGTAGATGTGCAATTTTATTATTTTTTTTATTTAAAAAATTCATATGAGATATGAATATTTATATATTTTATATAAACCAAATAAGAATTTTAACAACATATTTTTTAATAGAGAATATTGAGTTTAATTATTATTGTGTTATTGTTAAAAATATTTTTATGCTATTCTTATTTAAATGCGTTAATTAAATTGATAAACGAATTGAAAGATTTTGTTTCTTTAATTTGTGAATAGTATTCAATATTCATGTATACATATGGCCACACATTCGGGCCGTTGTTTCTTCTTGACGTACATCGAAGGCAATGGCGAGAGTCAGGCCCTCGGCTTCCGACTGGAGAGCGCTCTCACGGCTAATGCTATTTATAGAGCGGTCACCGAAAAGCATGCATTTTATAGCTGCGAAACTGTGAGGAATACTGTGGCCACACAATTCATTAGAGACCTCAAGGGCACTATCATCTCATTATTCAACGAAAACACCACTTTAGGCAAGAATTATGTGTTTGATATCAGGAGGACGTGTCGGGAAGTCTATGATCACACCCGACGAGAGCTCTATCAATTGGAAGCCATCGCCAAATCTGAAGACACGGAAAGTCTCAAATCTTTAGGTGATCTCTGCCTTGAATTTGAATCCATTGCCAGTCATCCGCATTTGTGTAGGAAATCTGAGTGCAAAGTATGACAACTCTGACGACTAGAATTGATTTTATAAATAATTGTTTCATGTATTCAAGGATATGAAGGATCGTTTGGATGCCTTACAGGACTCGATGTTATGTCGGATCTGTTTTGACAGCGAAGTGTGCACTGCGTTCAACTGCGGACATGTCGTGTGCTGTGACTCCTGTGCCCCTCTCTGTGATCGCTGTCCTCTTTGTCGCNAGCATTGATAGCACAGTCAGAAACGGGTGATTTCGACTCCGAAGTGACCTCTGCTTTGCTGTCATATCGGAAGTGGATTCCACTTTCAATACTAGAGACTGAAGTTTTGTGTAGTTCTCCGACCCTTCAGAGGAAAGGCAAGCGAAGGAAACACCACTCGGGCTCTTCCGGGCCTGAGATTAGCTCTGAAAATGAAGAATCATTTAGTGATATGGAGTCAAACTCGTGGACAACCACTTCGTTGAATCAAGTGTTCAATAGCACTGAGTTCTCGAGTCTCACGAATAGTATTATTCAATATCACCAGAAACTTGAGTCCACGAAACCAATGCACGCCAAGTACCTGTTTCTACAAGAAGTGGCAAATCTCGAAGATATTGGAGTCGAATATTTTTTCGTCAAACTCAACAATAACTCTGAAGATCCCTACAAAATAGGTGTCGGCCCTAAAGGAGTCACTATTGTTTGCGAGCTAACAAATGAAGTCAAATATACGTGAGTTTTGCTTTTATTCACAATTAGATTCGGGACTTAAATCTCTTATACAATTACTGTACAGTATATACGGTACATAATATTGCATTTATTTAGTATATTCCACACGAATTGCAATATCTCATGCCTATGAGTGATATTTTCATTATTTTGTAGACTACCTTAAATTATGTTCATTTCTATTAAATTATATATCAATTCTTTCAAACTCGGTATTAAAATAATACCGCTACTTATTTAACTCGAAATTGATTTATTATAATACATGTCATGAGTTTTCTTTTTAATTAATATTTTACATATAAGGAAAATAATTATTTTAGCACTTGTACTCGCATACTATTTCTCTTTAGCAATTTATAATCTTATGTTATTTTTTGTGATTTAACTATTTCAAAAATAATACCGGTATTTGAATTATTGTAATTATTTTAATCAAATTCCCTATTACGAAATATCTTTCAAATTGTTATATCAAGTGCTCGTTTATACCAATTAATTATTCATTGAATGTTTTAATAGATGTTAGCGTAACTCTATGAATAACAATGAATTTCTTTATTGCAAATTTGGTGTCAAATCATGTAATAATTTATTCAAGTATTTGATAACTATTAAGAATTACGTAATGATTAAACAGTTTTTAATGAAAAGGGGAAACATTTGATAATATTGTGGAGTTGTATCAGCTGTCGATTAAATCAATTTTATAATCGTATTTATTCAGAGTTTTCACTCAATGTCTACAATATAACTATTAATATTTGTTTGACAATTGATGATTGAAATGATCACAAAAACCTCATGAATATAACAAAGAGTTAATGTGAATACAAAAAAAATATACAGCAATTTAGACAAAGAAACTGCGACCTTGGTCAAATGTCTGCAAACTTATTATTATAGCGTTAAATATAGATATTTAATGATT